CAATCTCCATTAAACAAGTATGAACAGAGTAATTACCATTAGGGGCAATCCATTGTACACGTCCTTGATTTCCAGGAGGTACCATAACCTTATGGTTACTGAATAAACCATTCTCAATAACAAAACCAATAATATCACCACCAGTTACGATATCACCAACACGTACGTTAGCAGCTGGTTTAAACTCATAGAGTTTATCGCCATCAAGAGCAGCAACATCGACACCACGAGGAATGAACAATGATTTGGATAAATCACGAATACGCTCTAGAGGACGTTGAATACCATCAAAGATATTATTAAGAATACCAGGTCCTAGCTCAAGAGCAAGAGGTTTACCAGTCTTGATAACCGGATCACCAACAGTTAAACCAGCAGTATCTTCATAAACCTAATAAGCTTATAATACTAATCTTGTTATTATTAGTTGTAATTACCTGAATTGAGGCAGTATCTCCCTCAATCTTGATAATCTCTCCGACAAGATTCTCCCAACCAACACGAACCACTTCGTACATCTTAGAACCGGACATGTTATCAGCCACGACCAAAGGACCGGCGACCTAAAGATTCATACTACTCACAATAACAAGAGTACTACTACTTACCTTATGAATACGTCCGATAGAAGCCTCAGAGGACTTGGCCATTACCATGATAAAAAGTAGTGACTCCAACAATAATAACTAACAACATACATTCAAATAGTAGCAGCTGAGTAGTATTATGATAACGATTATTATTCATTATCATCATCATACTGTCATGATGATGAAACCATCGAGCAATAATCATCGTAGATGAAGGTATTCTAAGCTTACTGCATAACTTCATCAGCCTAACCCTGAAGGGCTCAGCTGAGGACACAAAAACTGTCCCCTTTTCAAACTCACCTTCCATTATTGCAACTTACCTTGACTTGGTTAGATTGGATGAACCTTTGTAAGTTGATAACAACCCGTAGTATAAGGGAGTTATTGCTGTTGATGGTGAGTAAGGGAAGAATAATAATGATATCGTTCATGGATCAAGAGAAGGGCATGGAACGTAAGGTAGTGGTAGTAGTAGTAGCTAAGCGAGTACTTCGAATGTACTCCTGCTGTTGCTGCTCCTGCTCTTGTTGCTGCTGTTGCTGATGTTTACTATCCTCAGTCGTCGAGTTGAGGAAATCATCAGTATTGGGTAACTTGATGTAGTTAGTTAATGATACCGTCGATAATGGGATATATAAGCAGTAATAATAAGCATGTGGCTGCTGCTGCATAATGGCGACAATGTAAGCAGCACATGTATCGCCAATACCACCGACTTACTACTCGTATCCCAATCAGGTATTATTAATATAATAGAATAACAACACAACATAATAATCGAAGAAAATATACTCTTCGATGTAGTGAATAGAAGTTACAATGATACTATTACCAGCAATAGTAAATATCATAAGAATGCAGCTGGAGATTAGTTCAGAGCAGCAGCAGCAGCATTACATGTAACTAACATATTCTATTAGTATTTACCAATACTAGAAATAGTAGTATCAAAGCAATCTCCAATGATACACACTAATATAAGTCCACATAACGATGATGACTAAGAACAGCAGTAGGAATTGTACTATCTTCTATGTCGAATACCCTTAGACATGATAGATGGTTTGTTAACCTCCTCCTGCTGCTTCATCCCCACAATAACTCCAGTTACTGATATCATAACTTCAACAACATCTAACAGCAGCATTGTGGTGAAACGATGGAAAAAATCACCTAGAAGAATGGTCGTCTCTAAACTAGAACCACGGATGATATCCTAGACCATGAATAGTAGTAGTATGTAGTCGCACTATTCATTATTAGTTGGTGTTGTTAGTCTCATCTAGAAGATTCTGGAAGGCAGTATCAATCTGGTTAACAAGATTAGCAAAGAAGTTAGCGAAATCCTCTTCACTATGTTGAGGCATCTCGAACTTCATATTGGTAATAGCGACGATAACATCCTTGCAAGCAGTAGATATCTGTGACCATCCAATAACCTTATCACCATGATTCTCAGACAAACATTTCTGAGCAGCATCATAGAAATGACAGATACATTTCATCATACCAATAGTCTTAGCTAGAGGGCACATATAATCATAATCACTGAAACCATTCTGTTGAAGGAAATCTTCACGAATAATACGAGCAACCTCTAAAGTACACTTCTGATCTTCAGATAGTGAATCACGACCAACCAATTGTACAATTTCTTGTAGATCATCTTCAGTCTGAAGAATCTCTTTAACCTTTTGTTGTAAAGATGAATACTCATTATCATACTTGTTGAAGAAGGGCTCCAAGGCACGAGTATACTTTGAGAAAGAGATATTCCAGTTAATGGAAGGGAAATGCTTCCTC